GGTGAAAATCTTTCTTTGAAAAAACAAAGTTAGAGCCTAACTACAGCGTATGTCCCATGTCTGTCTTTCTGTACATCCAAGACAGAAAATACAATACTGGCATCCTAAAACATTAATGGAAACACACATATATGAAGCAAAATTATGAAAGAAAATCTAATAATCAGGATGATACAAAGTAATAGAAATGAAGAAGAGGGTTTTTATGAGAATAGTGAATACAAATATAATAACTATTAGATTATCCAGTGTCTGAAAATACAGGTATTGAATTACTATATATTACATTTACTATCTATTGTCATGCTGTTTTCTGTGACAGAAGCTCTTATTTTGAAAGAAGAAGCACATGAGTCTAGAAGATAGATCATAACATTGAGGCAAAAATAATGACAATTACTGTCATTTACATTAGTGAAATAATGCTTTTGCCTTTACAGAACTTTAGAAAAGGTTATACTGATTTTCATGTGTACAAGGCTTTCAAGCCTGTAAGAATTCATGTTATCATATTTAAAAAAGAAAACGGAGTGCCTGATTTAGTTTCAGTACCCATCAAACTGATGTAAGTAAAAGGACCTCTAAAAAAATGAGCTAAGTAAAGGAGTTAAAAATATACTTTAAAATATATTCTTAGAGTTGTCCAACACAACAAAAGGGAAATTTAATCATAAAATATAGGGTTAAGTTGTGATCTATAGGTATTATGAGACTGCAGTGCCTAATTGAAGATGTTTCATAAACCATTCACTAAGAAATTGAGACAATAAAATATGAATAAAATTTAATCTAGGTCAGCCTTGTTCACTTTAATAAATGCTTCAGCTCCTGAGGTATTAAGTAAAAGAAAGATGATGACACTGTCTTTGTTACTGCTGTTTCATTCATGAATATAGGTTTAATTTTTCTTGTTTCTAAAACTGCTTGAACTAAAATATTTCAGACGAATTTGTTACAATTCATGCTACATATAAAAATATATGTATGCATCTGGGTTTTTTTTGTTGTAGTAAAAAAACCACATTAAGATTAATCCATCCAGTATTGTAATATATTTTTTGCTTAAGCTGCCAAACCAAACCCCGAATCTCCTCACAATCATATTCTGATTTAATAAGTTAATCCTACAAACTTTTTCTACTTTTGAAGAATACAAGTTGAGACAAAAATAGCTTTCAGTTTTAATTTAAACTTAGCACAGCCAAATTAGTATTATTTTAAAATTTCCATCAAATAATATGCTAGATCACATTGACCTGTGTTCCAGCTGCAGAAAAGATGCTGTCTTTCCACATGCTGTAGGTCATCATTCTAGACAGAGAATATCCACAGAAATAACTTTAACAGTTTCTATTAAGATATTTTTGTATATGTTTTCAAAGTCCCATGCAATGATTTTCCAGAGAACCTGTTTGTCTTCCTGTCACCAACGCCACACCAATCAATACATATACGTATGCTCCTGCATTTTCTATTTTGCCTCGTGTAGTGACAGATTAAGTTGCCAGCTAAGTTCTTGACATGAAAATATTTCTACTGTAATAGGTCAGAAAAAGTTAATTATCATAGGCAGTAAAATACATATTCAACAGCAAAAGGCCAGTAGGAATCTTTGCTTAAGAATGCTGCTAGAAGGGTTGGGTAGGAACTTGATTAAATAGTGGGGTAAGGTTTAAGCTCTGGTATTTAAGCTAAGACCTGAAATATATGGGTCCCAAAGAATGTAGTTCCATCATGGTCCCTCTCTAATACACACTACTGTCAGGGTCTGCCACTGCAGCTTGGCATAGAGTGGCAAATCAGGATGTGTGGTGGTGTTTTGGGGTGGTTTTTTGTTTGTTTTTGTGAAGATTGGCAAAAACTGTATGAGCCTGTTGCCAAGAAATAAACGAACACATAGGTGCGGGTCCAGAATAAAGTGCCAGTTAGGCATAACTGAAAATGTAAAAGGGAGCTAGAAGTCTGGTGTGTACTCAGAACCTGACAGAGTTGCCACTTTTATTTCTTCTTGCTGACCTTCAGTTTGAAGCAGTAAGTACTTTAAACAGTATCTTTATGCTGTTACCCAAGGGAGATAAAAGGTTGGATTAAAAAATTCAGAAACAGCAATCTGAGAACTTGGAACTAAGGCTCTTTATTTAAAAGCAGTAGGAAGTGCTACTTAGGACAAAAGTGGTTGTAGTGAGTAGTTCCACTACATGTGGTTATGCATGAGCGTGTCCTGGGAGGGCAGGTAAGCCTTGCCAGCGTAGCCAAGCTAGAGCTGGATTAAGTGTGAACACTAGTGGGATGGAAGAAAGAAGCATTAGTTGGACTAACTTTATATATTAGAAAATACATTAAATTTCCTCATTGCAACAGTGTATCAGTGGTCCTCCAAAAATTATTACTTTATTAGAATCTTTGCTTAATTAACAGAAAAATTTTAGAGCAACTTTTTTGTACAAAATATTAATGCTGTTTTGCATTAACAACAGCATACATCTCAGTTTGCAAAGGTGCCTCTTTATGGGAAATGCCTTCTCAATGAATGCTCCTAGAAATCTCATCACTAGCAGGTCCTCAAGACTGTATTCTGAAGACAACAGTTTTGTATCTAAAATGTTGATTTTCCCTATAAAAAGTGTACAGAAGTCTATAGAAGACAGTATTACTATTACAGCAAACTCCGGCAACTAATGTAGTATATGGCAGCTTAGAGCCTGGCATATATATGATGTGATGGGCTGATAACTTATTAATGAAAAGGCTAGAGGTCAGGGCAAGGCACATCTCTGATTTTTTTTTTTTTCCTCTCTCCTTCCCCATTAACACTTGAACTATATCCTCCCCTCTTGTTTACTGTAACATCTCCTGCATTTCCTGTATTTTTTCATTGCCTTAAGCTTTTCATCTCCAATACGTAGCTTCATCCTCATTCTGAAAACACACTGGTAGAGTTTACTAATTTTAACTGCAAGGACTTCTCACAAGAATTGCCACACTCTATAACTCTCATTTGCGGGTACTAGTTCTCCTGGAAAATCTCTTACCGATTTTTCTTTTACATAACACAAGAAACATAAGATGGATGATCTTTAAGCTTCTTGGTCTGCGAGGAAAGTGCCTATGACAGAGCTCAGTCTGACTTAGATGATGACTTGCAGTTGACTCATCTTCCTTCTCTCTCGCAGTCGTTTGGCAAGTGACTATCTTTGGCTACCAGGTTGTCTTGGGATTTTTGCTAGTTTGTGCTGCTTATATCAGACCCACAGTAAGTATTGGTACACTACAGTTTTAATATACCAAAGCCGGTGCTCAATGGGCTTTGTAGTGAAGTGGATAAAGCATTGTGCGCATACTTATGAAGAGCTTAGGACAACTGAGGAAATGATATTTCCAATTTAGTTAATATGGTATTTTTTCTGTAAAGAAAGGCAAATGGATATATATTCTGTGCAGGAATGGGTATGTGTAGATTATTGAATAGGTACAATTGAGTGTATATTTTAACTACATCTCTGTATTCAAAAGTTTGTGCTGGAAATTAGCACAAAGTATTCTTTATTCTACGTAAATTATTTTCTTAATTGACTTTGCTATTTTTACCTTAAATACTAAAATAACTGGTACATGTAGCAGTTACTGACAATTTAAGCAGCTTTAGAAAGTCTTCAGATTTGTAGTTGAGATGGTTTGCTAAACCTAAAGAATGCAGTGCAATTCCTACGTGCTTCTCCACTAATTAACTCTATGTTTGTGGGAGTCATTTTGGACTGTTTAGAATATATGAGAATCATGGGAGAAAAAGTAGGTCTCACTTATTGTCTCCCATCACATTTCCCAAACCCATCACCTCTAAGACTTTTGTGGTAAATGTGATCATGTCCTGCACCTCTAAGCTAGCATGGAGGTAGATGGGACAGCTTTGCCTCTTTGTAGGCATCTGTATCATCTGCCCTTCCTTGGATTTCTGAAGTCTATGGCACCCTGAACAGAAGAAAGGAGGGAGAAAGACCCTCTCTCAGTTCTTTTGTCATTTACATTGTCAGATTTCCTTCAGAAAGCAAATTAGCTGACCAAGGAAAGATGTTATCTGAGCAGCCAAAGTGCTATTAGTTTAGCGAGAGGAGGAAAACAGGAAGAGTACCCAGATCACACATGAATGAAATACGGATATAAGAAAACATCCTTGGTGTTCAACTTCTCTGAGATCTATTCCATACGTTCTTTACTAGCCTGACTCCTGTCTGATCTGGGACCACTCCATCTCTTTTCTCACACCTTTCCACACCCCATAAAGCCTCCTCTGATACCCTCTTTCATTTCTTGATCAGTTCTGCCTTTGCCCAGACACTTGCATGTGCAAATTCTTGTATTCTGAAAACCATTCTGTGCACCATTTGAGAATTTTCAGAAGGTGCTATCACATACTTTTGTTCCCAGACAGAATAACATCTGCTGATTGAAGCAGAACATAGTAAATTTAAGGGTGAAAACTTGTCCTCACTCAGCTGTATGTCAAATGACATTTACTTCAAGGGTCACATGGCTGCATCTGGACTAAACAGCAGACTCATTGTGATATGTGTAGCAGCCTTCATCTCATCCTTACTCAGATCAAATCCAAGGCACAAGAGAAAGCTGGGTCTGTTGTAACCTTGCCTTTTGCCTTGATGAGAGATGAGGATATGTGCAGGCTACTTTTGCAGGCCCTGCGGCTTGGAAAGCTGCATGAGTCCCCTGCTTTAGAAAACGTTTAAACTGAATGTACTAACCATGTTATATACAAAATCTGCTATTTTTGTATTATGTCTTGCTAACCCTTACAGTCATTTCCTCTGGGACTGTGGCATGGTAGGTACATCTGTTACTTAGAACCTTACAAGTCTCATGTACTTATTAAAAGGCTGGAATTTTGTCCTCTTATTTATACAAATGAAGATCTAAATTCATATATAAGTATCTTCCTCCTGCTTTACACACACATGCTATCCAGAAAAGGTCTGCTGTATACTTACTCTTGTGTTGTTTCTTTCAGCTTTCAGTTCTGAAATCTCCTCCTCTTTTTCCAGCAGCTGTTCCCTGCACGCATTTAATTCTTTTGTCAGTGCAGCAAATTCCTGTGGAATAAAATTATATATGAAGTTACTCAAGATGTAAGCACTAGAATAATCAAATCCATACGCACACTAGAGTTTGAGGATTTAAATAATATTTAGTAATCATCAACACAAACTAAAATAGCATATGTAAGCATCAGCATCTACCAAAACCATTTAAAGTCTCGGCATATCTAATATGGAGTGCCTATGGAAAAGACTGGTTTCAGTTTAGAAACAAAAGAAGGTTCAAGGTGATGGCAACATCCCCCATACATAAGCTATCAGAACCAGACCAGAAGAAGAACGGAATTGGCCTATTTCATAGCATCAGAGACACCACATTTCACACATAATGAGGTTCAACACAACATATCCACTTAGTGAGAGTTCCTGCCTCTCTGTAAGGCAGCTGTTGCAATATGGCATGGGAGAAAAAAGTTAAGGTATTCACTGATCAGCATCTATCTAATATCAGATTAACATGAGTAATACATGCATTGTGAAAAAAATACGCTCATTATTTTTACTTGATATTTGAACTTCACTATTAAAATGTATTTGGGCATTACAGTGAAAGGCTGTGATGAGTCAGAGCAATATTCATGTCTGTTAGTTTGGAGTGAGTTTCCTATGAAATAACAACATAAAATGAAACTGAATTTTAAGTTGCTCCAATGTTAAGTTTTATACATGCAACTAATAGTTTCTTTTGAAAAACACATTTTTCATTTGTCAAAATTCCTATTAAAATGTCTTGATTTTACCATTGCTGTTACTTTTCAACAATATACACAATTTTTTGTCTATACAAAGGGCAGTCACAGATTTGTCATTCATTTCAATAATGAAAAGGTTTCAGTCCATATGTGTTTATTTTCCACAGGCACAACATATAGTAAACCGTGGTGGTAAATTTTATCTTTTACAGCAAAAAGATGCTACATGTCTCATGAAAACAGTGAGGCAAAGGATGAAAAGTCTTTAAAAATTGTGATCATGACTCAGAAAAAAAAAAGATGTCTTGATGAAAAGCATCATTACTTAACAAAGATATATACATATTTTGAAATATTAAGGTAATTTTAGTTTGACCAAAATAGTCAGTGCTTAAGACCACCCGCAAGCAGCCAGAGTTAAACTGAAATAATTCCTAATCTCCCCTCCCCCTAAAAAGAAAGCAGTTTAAGAAAAAAACATGTCCAGGTGGTTTATCTTATCAGCCAGTAGGATGAAGCTGAGGCTAAATCTACTTATTAAAAGAAAAGCTAGCAATGATCTCAAAAGGCCGTGGTTTGCTGCTTCCCCTGGAGTTGCTGAAAGCCGCTTTTATCAGAACTAAAGTGCTGTTCAACAGAAGTTTGGTAGGTATTCTTAGGCTCAGTCTGGTTTAATCAAGTTTCTAAAGAGTTAATGGTATATGATATTATTAATAATATATTAAAAAATGTTCAAAAAGATTTCAAATGATAATCTGACAATGTGTAACTAAACTGTTTTCTTCCCCCCCCCCCCCC